AAACATGTTTACTGTTCATATAACCCCAAGAAAATCTCTTTTTTTGAGACATGGAAATTAAACGTTTGCAGATGCTTATTTTGTAATATGTCTTTTTCCCTTGACTACTTTATCCCCTTTGTGTTTTCTGTAGCTTTGGACATCCTTTCAGTCTCTGAAAACTGCAAACTACCTTCAGTATTCCAGAGTGATTTTACTAGTTCTGTGGAGTAGATAGAACTATAGGAGCTGTGTAAATTAAAAAATTTCTAGCTCATGTACCTTTGTACACAACTTTTGGTTGTGTTACAAAAATCTGAACAGTTCAGTTTTGCTGGTGAGAAGGGAAGTTTCTCAAAGCTCCACCTCTCACCTGCTGTGCATTACCTGTGCAATTTCTGCATGAGGTTCAAACAGCAGGATTTAAAACAATACTGACAGAATTTTGTCAGGGACGGCATATCAGCAAAACCTTAAAATACAAAGCTGCATTGCCCATCTGACAAAACATTACCAGGCATAAGTACTAATCTTAACCAGGAGTGGCTAGTTACTGATAAGACAAACCAGGAAAGCAAAGAATAACTGGTATTGTCTTAGTTAAATCTTGGAGATTATACTGTTTGGTATGCAAAGTTTGCAGATATTTTTTTATGGAGGAGCCTGGACAATCATATGCCCTTTGCTTAAAAATATTTTCATGGTTACACCATTGCACTTGAGGATTTTCTTTACAAAAAGGACCTAAAATCAGTTAAATTACATTCAAGGGCCCCTATCTACTGAGTAAAGACCTACATTCTCTAGAGGTCACAATGATGAGAAACTAAATCTTGACAATTTTTCTACAAATCTGGTTTTGATTATGCTTTACACATGCCAATTAATTTAGTCTGTGTTCCAGTGCCATACAACTGGCTTTTAACCTGTCATTTTAGGTTTTATATCACGGTTAATGAAACTGGTAAAAATAGAAGTTTTCAATCAATAAAATAGTAATTTGTCATATGCATTCAGGGTCTCAGACAACTTTACCAGCAAATGGGATCATTTTACCCACCATCGGAAGTCAGTTGTCTCTAGAGGGGCATGATGCAGCCATTAACGCTAACACATGAGCACTGTGCTATAATTCACAAGCTGGATGAAGTCACGCAGGGTGCGCTTCCAGCCTCAGGCAAAAGAACATGATCAGTAATATCACAGAAAATGTAGATATCTGAGGAAGCCTGGCAGAAATTCTGATGGGAGTATATTACCTTGAAAAAATGTAATGAGGATTCACAGAATCATTTAGGTTGGAAAAGATCTTTGAGATGATCAAGTCCAACCGTAAACTTGACACTGCCAAGTTGCACTAAACCATGTCCTTAAGCGCCACATCTACACATCTTTCAGGTGACCTCAAAAGGACATCTGTTATGCTTTATTTGAAAAACAGCTTCAATAACACAGCCTTGTCAGACAATGCCAGGGCACTGTATGTCTCAATAAAGATTGTGAGGAAAAAATTTTCTGCTAAATTATGAAGTCAAATGCTCTAAGCATGCCAAGTCATCCATCCAAGTTTTCCTTATTTAAAGTCCTCATTACCTCCCCAGACCATTGCAAAGTACAGTACAATTAATTCTTTTCTGTCTTAGCTTTCTTTTTATTTTTTTAATATCCAAGCACAAAAGAATGTAAAAAGTACATTACTATCAAACTGTGGTTGCAATTTTACTATCACTGACACCAAGTAACCCCTACTACTTGGTTTTTTTTCCTTTCTAAGATCAATATGGAAACTGATGATACTTACATCCAGCCCACTTTTAATGCAGAGCTGAGTGGAAATCTCAGATTACACACAGACTCTTTTAAAGATAAGAAAATCTTGACAAGAAGGAAGATCTCCTTAGACTGGGCAAATTGATAAATTATGTGAGTAATAAGGAGTATAAGAAATACTGATGACACGACCTAGCACGGTGCTTGCTACTCCTGATAATGATTTTGCTGTAGTACTAAAAAAAAATAAAAATCAATCAATCACAACAATACTGGCAGGAAAGAGGCAGCGCCAAGCAGAGACATTTGTGGGGCAGCATTTCTGAGGAGGAAGGAGAAGGTGGGGCAGGGTGTGCAGCAGATTTGGGGATGAACTACAGAGTTCCTGTGGGCACAGAGAGCAGAGTGGGGAAGCAGAAGGTGGTGAGGACTGCTCTCATCCTCTGGAGCTGTGGCTACGCATGTAGGATGACTTAAGGACAGAGATAAATTGAATAATCACAGATAAAGAAAAATGGTAGGATTCCTAATGAGGATATAATCTATTGCATCTACCAGAATTTTCACTGCAAACATTAGAAACACTTTTCCAAACAGCTTTATAAAAACAAGTATGGGCATATGGGAGAGCAGACTGAGTTAAAGTTTATTTCTTCATATATAGGATCCTAAACATAAAGCAATAGAAGATTAGCACCTTATACCTCTTATTCACATTATAAATACTTGTATAATTAAGATCACTCGCACTCCATAATCAAATCTCCAGAACTGTGAAAGCATATCTGGATTTTTGTGAAAAAACACAAAGCCCTATTTTGACAATTTTTTTGAAAATCAAGAAGCTTTGGTGGAGGTGAAAGTAGTTTATATTTGAAACTAGTTTATATAGATTATATTTGCTATGAATTCCATTTCATAATTTTAAAAGCAGAAAATAATTTGACTGCAAAATCTTGAAAACATAGAATTTTACGATTAGGAAATCTTGTAAGATATCTAAGTATCAGCTCTAACAGTCTCCTACTTTACAACTTTAACAGAAGATTTATTTTAAACTCAGCACTGGTTACATTATTTCCAGTCTTTCAAATGACATACCCTCAAGAAAGTATGATAGAAGATGCACTTTATTACTCGGCCTTATGCTCAGTAAAGTGTTCTTCTTATCAGACAACTGTGTCTACAAGTACAGGGATTAACCATGGTACATGTCTAAAGGTGCACATACATAGGAAGCTTCACGATACAGAGGTCGTTGTCTCGCATTGCGCGAGCCTTTCGTGCTGCCTCTCCATCCTAATGCCTTCTCCACCTCGCCTGGGCAATCATCAGCAGAGGACATGGGGCGCCAGGCTGGGATACTCTTTTGTTTAGACTCAGAAAGACTCCTTCTTAGAAGAGAAACCAAGGTGACCCAATTATAGCAACTTCCCATGGTTTTTCTCATTATCTCTCTGAAAAATTCTAGTCTGTTTAACAACTAACAAACCTGCGCAATCCGTGCTCCAGGAACGGACCCATCTACGTGTGTCAGCCAGCACCATAAGACCTCAGATCCAACTGTTACTATAGGGAAAACGATTTCTAACAAGATGACTGGACATCTATAACTCTCCTGCAGAAATTAGTCTAGAGGTGTCTTCTACTAAAATGACACGAAGGACAGCTTTATTTATCTACGATATATTTTGTAGAATAGGAAAATGCATCTGTAAAACTCGTAAATCCTTGACAGAATGGGGATATGCTATAAATACTCCAATTTTACCATCAATTAACAAGCCAACTTCTCAGATGAAAAATCATTTAAAAAAACAAACCAAAACAAAACTCTTCTCTCTCCACACACAATATAAACTGTTTGTGGGGATTCGTTACTACATGCACTTGAAACCGCTTCTGCCTCCAAACTGATTTGTTCTGAAACGTGTGACCCGCATTACAGCTGGTACTGTGAAAGATGCTGAACGGACTGGAGATGAGAGAGTCACAGAACAATGATATTTGGCAAGTTTTTATCTCCCAGGCTTACATTCACATCATGGTACTCACTCTGTATCTCAAAATCAGAAAAATCCATGGCAAGTTATCAACCACTGGCAAAGTGGGGTTTATTTTCTTCATCTTTATGCTACCTCAGTCCTTTCCTTTCTACAATTACCAGCACATAATGCAGTCCATAGAATGCACGACTTAATAAGAGAAACATAGATCACAACACGAAGATCTAGGAGAGATTGGATTCAGAGTTTTTTCAGTGTTTCAGATTTTTTCCTCTTTTTTCAATGCTTTTTTTATTTAATCAGGAAAAAGAAATAATATACAAATAAACAACACACTATCTATCAAATACGATTAACAAATTTGGCCTCAGACTAAAAAAAGTCAGTAAGTCATGAATATTAAAAAAAATCATACCAGATGGCAGGTCATCCAAAGGAACCTCAAGCAACTTGGATTTGTAAACAGAGTGGAAATGGAAGTCATCCTGAAAGAGTAAATAATTGCATGTATTAAATCTGGATAAACTAATCCATCTCATTAGCATTAAATAGACAAAGTCCTTCTAACGCAACACCTACAGTAGTGAGCATGCAAGTTGAAAGGCACCATTACTCTACACTCTTCTCCTTTTCCCAACTGTGATGAGATCACTAACACCACAGTTAATCATCTTTTATTTGAAATATCTGAGTACATCAAACGCAGTGGCTGAGCATGCTTAGAGCTGGGCTTAAGAGAGCTGCCCAGGGAACATGAATAAGCCATGGGAGCTGCTGAACTGCAGCTGAGGTCAAACCAAGAGGGGAGGGATGTAAGGAAAGCAGAGTAGGAAGTGCCCGAGAAGGGAACAGAGCACTCGCAGGCTTCTCCTGGTGGCTCCAAGGGACCCTCACACCACTCTCTGCTGCTGCACAACTCTACATCCAAGTGTTACAAAGTACACGCATATTACTGCCCGATTTCTGGAGGTCCATTTTTGTCTATGATAATGGAGATGAGGTGGATTAATTGGGAATGAGGGGATGACCCTTTGGACCCAGAGTGTAATGCCTACCCTGTACTCACGAATGCCTATATTCAACAAACAACACAGCAGGACCACTCTAAATTCTACTCACATCTGAAATGTAGTTTTCATCTGGCTCAATAAGGTAAGTATGATTTCCATCATAGAACATCCCACTGTCAAGAGCAGGAAATGCAAAAACTGATTTAATAAACAAATACTTGTGCAACATGAAAGTAAGTATAAGAAATTCATATATTTAAAAAAAAAAGTTTAGAAAAGGAAGTAGTTAAAAATATTTTTTGAATGTAATTCTAAGTCAATCTTTTGTTTCTTCGCTTCAGAAAGACTCTTCTTTCTTCTCCAAAGCTTTTCTGCAACACACATAAACACCACAAAAACTGGCTAATTTAGCCAACTGAAAATCCAGTTCAAAGCCCCCACTCCCACATGCAAGAGAGATCTACCTGCAACAGATAAATAAGGGACCTGTCTTTGGGAACACGTCTATTTGGAACACGTGCACAGCTTTACCCTGCAAAAAAATATGATGTAATTGAATTGATCCTTAGGTTTTAATGGTTTTGATTAACTTTCCTCAGTAATTTCACATAGTAACAAATACAAATGGCATGATGGGCTTTTCTGGGCCTAGAGGACTGTTTGAAGCATTACAGCAATAACAGTTACGACAGATGGTCTTTTAAGATTGAGTTAGTTTAAGTTTCTGTTTCATAGAATCATAGAATGGCTTGGGTTTTCCAACGGGGGTGCCATAGGCAGGGACACCTTGCATGGATACCCACAGAACAGGTTCCAGTGAACAAAGGCAAGATGCAGGTAAGTGTTAATTCAGCTCAGCTCTGCCCCTTCAGCTCTCTTGCCCCTTACTGTGATGATCCAAAGGGGATTGTGAAAAACAACCCAGCCCTGAATTATTCCAGAATGAAACAGCAGACAAAGGACAGAAACCTGAGTAGAACCAAATCCCAGAGAGCAAAAACACTTTCACCTCGAGGAGTCTGATATTCACCCTCTATCTATTCTTGAGATGTTTTAAATTCAGCTGAGTAAATCAGTATGTGTGAAATACATTAATCCAGCTGAGTAAATCAAGATATGTTGATTTGGCTGAGTCACTGGTGTGCTAGTTATCACACACTTAATAGGCTCCAGGAGAAATAAGCGTAAATCTCATCATACCACCAAAGATAAACATTCTAGATAGTCCAATTCCCTCAGGCATGCCTCTTTTCCTTACATCTAATCTAATGTTACCCCTCATCCAGTCACTACCCTCCCTGGTAGAGAGTCCCTCCCCTTCTTTCCTGTGGGCTCCCTTCAGGTACTGCAAGGGTGCTATAAGGTCTCCCTGGAGCCTTCTCTTCTCCAGGCTGAACAGCCCCTGCTCTCTCAGCCTGTCCTGACAGAGGTGCTCTAGCCCACTGATCATTTTTGTGTCCCTCCTCTGGACACACTCCAACAAGTTTAGGTCTTATTTATGTAGGGGGCCCCAGAGCTGAACACAGTACTGCAGGTGGAGTCTCATGAGAGCAGAGGAGAAGAATCACCTCCCTTGACCTGCTGGCCAATTTCTTTGGATGTGGCCCCGGATGCGATTGGCTTTCTGGGTTGCAAGCGTACATTGCTGCCTCATATTCAGCTTTTCATCCACCAACATGCCCAAATCCTTTTCTGCAGGGCTGCTGTCAATCCACACATTATCCAGCCTGTATCTGCGCTTGGGATGGCCCCAACCTGGGTGCAGGACCTTGCGCTTGGCCTTATTGAACTTCATGAGGTTTACACAGGCCCATTTCAAGGAAACAATAATGGCTATATGCAGTGTCATATCAATATGGATATTATATGGTGTTCATGATAAGGAAATAGGAAACCTCATAGATAGAGAGGATCAAGCCTTCTGCCATACCCATGGTTTTGGCAAAGCACTCATGATCTCTTTCTTAATGGCGTAAAATATTCTCAGCCACAGAAATTTGAAGGTCATTCATGATAATCACACTGTTACATGTCTCAGAAAATCTGTCAGTTTGCTTGTCCACACACAATCACTAATTTTCCATATTAAATTCCAGCACACAGTTCATCTCCAAACGAAGAACAAACTGAACTTTCAAGGCTATGTAAATGGATAAAGGTAGTCTGTGACAGTAACACCAGATCCTTTTGCATTACCACTGGAATGTCCAGCAAAGGTGAGGTCCATTCCTGCACGGATGTCTTCTTCTGAGAATTACTTTAAGTTTACTTAGGTAAAGAATATACTGAATCTTTAACTTAATGCAAGATGCACAATTGTGACTGAGTTGCATCTTAAAAGAAAGTTTTGAAAAAGTCATCACTCCCTAAGAGCATAAAATCAAAGTGCCTTTCTTCTACCATCAGAATTTTTTTTAATAATTTTGCCGTTACTGCGGAGACATATATGCATGGTTCAGACCAGGCTGTATCAGCATGTCCTTTTCAAAGTGACACTACTAAGGGCTTTAAGCTTGGCCATAAATATGAACTGTAAGTTCAAACTTGGCATATAGTACACAACAGCATCATGACAGCAAGATTATTTTTTTATTTATTTATTTACTCTTTAGCAAACTTTCAGGCATCAAAAAACCCCACTAGAATTTTTTTTTAAAAAAACAAACAAAAAAAACCAAAAACAGATACTTTTTCTCTTATGCAGCTTTTTTTTAAAAAAAAATTCTGCAAAATTGATTTTGCTTCTGCACGGGA